TAAATTATGGTAAATTATCGTCATCAATGTGATGCACTCAACATGTGTGTAAGTGGGCTTGTGTTCCAGAGAAATGTAAATCTGCATAATTATAACCCCTATTATTCCATATAATGCTACAAATTCCCACGCCACTGTGATTAACACACAGTTGTTCATTCATAAAAAATGACATTGAAGACAGAGAATAAAAACTTAAAAGGTTTGCAGATTGACGTCTGACTGAGAGCGGAGCAGCAGAATAAAAGGACCAGTAAACAGCTAAGCAGTAGGGAATACATTACGAGAGCTGTAAAAGCTGTGGTTGCACTGTTCGATAGTAAAAATAAAGTAAAAGAATAAAAATAATATACAAAAAAAAAACAATTTGACCCAAAAACAGTCAATGAAAACTGTTGATGGAGGTAAGAGGTGCAACATAAGCAACATAAGCATCAACGTAAATACTTGATATGAGTTCAACATCAACCAACACAACAACAATCTGCTAAATCTCATCTAATTACACAGATAGACCTGTGCTGTACATCTCGAAACCATGTCTGCCATCCCTTCATATACTCTCCATCTATCTAACAATGAATAAAGATATATATAATAAAGAAATGTTGATAGCAAACCTCTGATTTAATGAAGTCAGACAGACCCAAACCCAAATATTTTGCATTTAGTGTAATAACAAAGCTGTCATGGAGGATAAAGCTCCGTTAGAGGAGCTTTGCTGCACTTTCAATCTATTTTCTGTTTCAGATGTTATTTCAATAGTAGAGTGATCTCTGACTGGTTTTTCTTCTGACAAAATGACAAAAAAAATCAAACCAGTGTCCTGGATATCGACATGCCAGGACTAGTGACCGAAACTTTTGTGATCAGCGAATAAAAATGTAATTCATATTTGCAGAGTTGCATAATATATAATAATGTGGCCTAATTATTTACCACTACTTCTTAGGAAAACAAGCGCAGTCATTTAGTGAAAACATTTTTAATAAGAATGACCTTTTTGAAAATTTAGGTTTTTATAACAGCTTATTGATTCGAAAAGTTTACAAGTCTGGAGTACTGGTAAAATTTGTTAAAACCTGAGAGAAGATTAGAAATAAGAGAAGAATTTTACTCTTATGAAACATTAAAAAAATTTATTTGTGTGTACAAACGGGTCTTGCATGTGGCTCATTGCTGGCAAATATGTTTTGAGGAGCGTATGTGAGGGTTGTAACCCCTAACCCCTATGTGGTACTGGGGGAGGGATTTTAGCTTTTCTTTTTTATGTTTTCTAAGTTCTATATTTTTGTTTTTATTAAACATAGACATGGGGTATTCAATCGTATTTACTGAGTGTCTTTAACTTAAAGGTCCTATATATCGCAAAACCAATTGTTCTAAGCTTTTAATCATGTTATTAAAGTTTATTTGATAGGGACATGTGATTTCTTTCATCAAAACCATGCCCAAAGCAAACACAGACAGACAAATTGCAGCTCCACACATAGTCTTTACTGATGCATGGGACGTTAGAGCTCTCTTTTAATGTTATACAGGAGCCAAACTTATATATGGCCAGAATGTAAAAAAATATTTTTTTCTCTCTGCTGCATGTAATGTGCCATACACAGGAGATCTTGGCCGGCAGGAAAATTTGATTATTGATCTTCCTTTAATGGATTAACACTGCTAAACATTAATACTAATTTTGAGTCATTAATAGAACTGAGTAAATATTCTGTGCACACTTCTTAAAAAAGAAAGAACCAGGGGAATATTGATGAAAGAGAGAGTAGAAACGTAGTTTTATCACTACCCCTGCAGGATGCCTTAACCTTGACCGTGCCATACCTTCCCAGTAAAAAAAAAAGTCTCCCTCTTTCTCCAATAAGTAAGCAGTGATGTGAGACAGAGCACAATCATTTCTGCTCAAAATGGCCCCAAAATCTACATTTTATCATAAAGATGCCTATGTTTGACTTAAGTATAAATTTCAAGGGAAACCCATGGAGCTTAAGATATCAAAGCCAAGAATATTGTACAAACAGTCAAGAATTGTGGGAGTGGCATCATGCTCTGGGTCTGTATCTCATCAGTGTTCAAGGCACGTTGATTGATGGAATAATGAGGATGGAAATCCAACTCTAAATTACTCACATTCCACAAATTCCACATTCCACACATGCCTCAAATATGTAGTTTTAGTGTTAACATTTTTTAAAAATGGTTTTCCAACAGTATGCAAAACATTAAACTGATGTATTTGGGATACCGTTGGCTTTGCCCTGAGGTCAACTCTACTAACTAATTTTAATGAAACCAAAAAACCAAGCGTACCTTTCAGCGTGGTCTTGATTATAACTAAAAGAGGATACTTGGGGCACTTGCTGCAGGCCAACAATCTGACAGAACTCAGTGTTGGCTAAGTGAATGTAATAAATTAAAGTATTAGAGATGTATGGAAAGCCAGAAATCATGATTTCAAGCAGTTGAATAATGTAGATTAAAAACACATTATAGACTTGAGTTAAGCATGTCCTTTTGAGGTCAATCTGCAGCAGTGGTTCCTAAATTTGGGGTCAGGACCCTCCAGAGGGCTAATAGGATACCAAGTAGGCGTTTGGAAGATCAGTATCAATGTGGTGGTTCTTCAGGGCATGGGGGACCAAAAGGAACTAGATTAACAAGACATATCATGGTATAAATAAATGTTAACATCCAGCCAATTACTTAAAAGTACCTTGAAAAAAATTTTCATATCTTCAAAGTCATATTAAATGATTTCTTGTACCATTTATGTACCCATACATTATTAAATAATTAGGGATGCACGATATTAGGATTTTGGCCGATATCACATATGCCGATATTTTAAAACTCATGTAACCGATAACCGATATCGATACCGATGTTAAAGCTGGACAAAAATAAGTAGTCATTGAAAATAGCAGTTTTATTATCCATTTTTCTTATGCT